AAAGTGTCATTTAAAAATAGAGAAAATACTTAATTGGGGATCTTAAGGACACCCTTCTCAGCTGTCCAAGTTGCATAAATTCCTTCTTTCGTGTGGTTTTTAGAACAAAATAACAATTACTTTTCATGCCAGCAGTTTAATACAGGCTGGAAGTGACCTGCAAATGCCTAGGTTTGCCTCCAGAGCCTACATACTGGCAGGGCTGAGCAGTTTATCACTTGCCTGATCAAGAGTCTCATCACAGCCTGATTGCGATCTAACCTGTCATGGGTCTTGATCTGACAAGATTTCTTGGATGATGCCCAGCGTCACTGTGGCGATCGCACCATCAATGAGAAAATGAGTCATAAGCAGGTTAGGAGGCAATGGTTCACCCTTTATGTAGTGTCTAGGGGCAAGGCCTGCTGCATTGTCCATGATGGGGAAGGCATAACCCTGTCCCATGCTTTTTCAGGGAGAAGAACTCTGTTTTCCCCTTTTCTAGGTGTGTTTTGTAGGCATTAGGCCACAGAGTAATTTCTTCTCCCTCTTTGGCCCAATCTTTTTCACAAGGCACAATTTAAGTGCAAAGGTGGAGAGGGCAGTCTCTGCGCTCATAGCACTTGGTCAATCCCTAGTTTTTACAGTCCCCATGGACAAACTGCCACCTTAACACCATCTATATAGGAGTACAGAGTGATACAAGATAGTACAACTGTAGCTTTTCAAGCCAGGAAGCAAGACAGTCCTAATGAGCATTGCAACAAGGGGTCTGGGTCCCACTTGGATCCCCTCTGGCAAGTAGAATCTGAATACGGAGCATCTGCTTCACTAGCACATCTCTAGCCCTGTGTCTGAGGAACTGTTTTGTAAAAGGTGGGCATTTTCTCTCCTCCTGCCTCCTGGAAAAGTGCAACAGCAAGTCCTGCTTAATTCTTTGAGAGTGAGATGATGGGGACCTGCACTCGTGAGGAGGTTTTGGTAACTGATCCCATGAGGGATCTACCTTTGCCTGTAAGTGGGGCACTTGCAGTGCAAGGGTTTAAGACTTTCCCTTCTTGATCTCTTCCTGTTGAATGAGCTGGAGGCAACACTATTTTAGCAAGCAGCTATTCTAGAACCCGTTTTGAGGAATTAACTCTCTGACTGCATTGAATAGTGCACCTTTGTTAGGCAACTAGAAACCATCAGTAGCCAGGTACTATTAAGTCCTTTTTGACAATGTAAGGCTGGGCCCTTTTTGAGATTAACAGTGGCAAAAACTGTCTCAGAAGAGGCTTTATCTGTCCTTATCTACCTAGTGAATCATTCATTTGAGGAGCACTCTAAGTTACATCCTCTTCAACTGGAAAATACCCAGTGATATTTTTCCTTCTTTTTTTTTCATGTTCTTCCATTTAGAGAAAAAAGATGATGAAAAGATGGGAGGAATAAGGTTGGCCAGAGGGAGAGAAGAACAGTGCTATTAAAAAAACTGAATCCTCTGCTTCTCTGCCCAGGCAGCATGTAGGAGAGAAGTCCCCCAGCAGAGTGGTCAGCTCTGAGCCCTGCTGGCAGCTCTCTTAAGATCAGTTCCCTTCTGATGTGGGAGCCGGTGCTGTCTGATGCATGTAAAGAGCAATAACAAAGTGAAGCATAACTGGGATTTTTTGGCAAAATTAAAAATTGAAAAACTCATTATAGTTTTTAATCATAAAATATCTTTAATAGATATTTGTGATAATTCAATTTTTTAATTAGATATAAGTATTTTTAAAAAAAAAAGAAAAGGAAAAGGAAAATCTGGTGCTCTTCAGCTTTCATTAGTATATAGAAATCTTTTCTGTGCATGGATCTGGGGCAGAGCGCAGAATGTGTCCCCCAGTGTGAGTGCTGAACAGCAATGTATTGCTGGAGAGTTACACGCACTCAAACATGGTGTGTGAATGAAATCATGGTACAAGGATGTGTCGATGCAGGGTTTTTTTTGACACAGCAGGAGACAAGCAACACAGAAGTTGGATGTCTTTGCAAGAGTCACAAAACAAGTTTCTGAAAGAGGTGACTCCAGAGCTTGTTTCCTGACTAGCAGTTCCTGCATTTCTGTATATGCCACTCCTGGTGTTTTATTTGATTTCTGTAAAACTTCTGAGGATCATTGTAGCTATAAATGAAGGACCCTAAAGTGAGGACAAATTTGAATTCAGTTGATGGAGTTTCTCTTAGACTGCTGCAGTGTAGGAGGACTGTTTTGTTTTCTTGTCTATGCCAAACTTTAATGGCCTGCTGCTGTTAGGCAACTTTCAGGAATAAAGTAAAAAATGCACAGTCTTCTGCACCTGTCATTCTGTAAGACATATATATATTTTTGTCAACTTGATTTGCTTAAATATTAGCTTTAATATATATTGCAAATGGTAACTGCTTTGGGTATAGGTGGAAATCTCAGAGCTGCTGTAAATGATCTGTTTCAGATTTAAATCCAAGTGCATTATGATTCTTTGCAATGCAAGTAATATCGAAGTATTTTAGCAGGCTGTGGTTTTGACTGTATCTAGCTGCTCTTGACTTTTGTGCTTTAGTCACTTTCAATATTAAGTGAAAATAAAATTTTTTTGCTATTTCTGGATATTTTTACTCAAATTATGGAGTAGTTTCTAGGGAAGCTATTATTTTCATCAAAAAGCCTGCTGATCACATTTTGAAGTAAGTTCTTTCTGTTGTATGCTTGGTCTTTGTATATAACATTTTCCTCCCCTCTGTCTTCTAAGCATTTATGCATTTTATTTTTATAAAAGTATGTAACAGTAAAAGCAAATTTTCAACTTAAAATATGAACTTTAAGAAATGAATGTCCAGCTCTCTTAAGTGTGCTACTTAGCATTGTGTGTCAAATGATGCAAATGTCCATTACAGCAAGAATTTAGAAAGCTAAGGCTTTAGCTAGCCAGACTAAAATACAAAGAAATAGATTAAGATGACTTCGTATTGCAATAAAGTTGTTGGTACTACAAAGGACAGTGACTTACTGTTAATAAAGAAGGAGAGATCAGCTCTTAATCCATATACATTGATTTTTTTTGAGATTACTTGACTTGTAAAAGCAGGAGACCTATGTCTATTTCCGGATTCAATTATCTGGATGGCACTAAGTATGTCAATCATATTTTCATTCATTCAAAGAACCACTGTTAATATATTCCAAGGAGAACGGCTCAAATAGCAGTGAATGCCAAAGCTAAATTTCTATCTACGTATTTAGTTCTACTTATCTATATGTACACCACAAGGCTTGAAATTTTAATTTGGTCAAATATGTGTCTGAGATCAAATAAGTGTAGTCCCTTGGATAGTCCCTAGGTATGAGAGGGACTATCCTGTCATATCCTGCTGCTTCTAGAAGAGAGACTGGTCTCACAGGAAAAGAGGATATCGTCCCAGCACCTGAATTTCAGAGACAGTGATGGGCTTGAGTGTAGTTGTAAGTCTGTGTGCTGTATGAGGTGTTTCAACATGGGCTGCTGTTTGATGGTATGAAGGCAAACATAAAAGGCAGTGGTAGGCACACTGGAAGTGTTTGCTAATGAGTATCTGTTGCACACAATGATAACAAAACATCCTAATCTATAAACTTTATGACACTGTACATCACTGATTACTATGCCCACTCCCTGAGTCATGTGGACTCAGGAAGTCACGGCCAGCTCCTGTTCTTTTTGGTGGGAGAGACAACAACTTGATGGGTGGTCCTTCTCTGTCCTTTTATAAGTGTCAGTGGTGATGAGCTACTCTTTTCTATAATGTTAGTACTGTGGTATCCATGCATTAGTCCTCATTACACACAGAACTACACTGCACACAGATGACCAAGCCATGGTAGACCTTGTCAAAACATATATGTTTGGCAAGGCAATGCAGTCACTCTAATTCCAGGTCACCCCCTGCCGGTTTTGTATCAAAGCTTTTTGTATCAACAGCAGTTTTGTTTCAACAAGAAAAATCCTGTATATCAGCAAAAAATTTGCCACATTCAGAATTCTCAGCAAAATACCAGTTTTAGACCTTGCGTGAGCAGTGATAACATA